GTTAAGTTTGGTACACTGAAGACAACAAAACACTGACGAAAAAATTAAACACCTAAATGAAACTGAAAGAACTGTTGTGTTTGTGGATTAGAGAACTCAACTATTATTAAGATGTCAATTCTCTCCAAACTGACGTATAACTCAAGGCAACCTTCTTTTTTTTTTTTAAGATTTTATTTATTTATTTGACAGAGAGAGATCAAAAGTAGGCAGAGAGGCAGGCAGAAAGGGGGAAGCAGGCTCCCTGCTGAGCAGAGAGTCCATTGCGGGGCTCAATCCAAGGACCCTGAGATCATGACCTGAGCCGGAGGCAGAGGCTTAACCCACTGAGCCACCCAGGCGCCCTTCAAGGCAATCTTAATCAAAATCCCATCAGGCTTTTTTAATAGAGAAGCTGATCCTATATTTATACAGAAATTACAAGAATCTAACATAAACAAAACCATTTTTCAAAAGAGGAACAAAGTGGGAGAACTCACACTACCTGATTTCAGGACAGTATAATAATTAAGAGTGTGGGATTGGCATGACAGACATATAAATCAATGGAACAGAGTCCAGAAATAGACCAACACATTTACAGTCAATCTGTTTTTGATAAAGATTCCAAAGAAGCATTAGACAAAAATTATAGTATTTTCAGTAAATGGTATCATAATGACAATTAAATAATCATATGTAAAAAAATAAAGCTGGACCCTTACTTCACATCATATACAAAAACCAACTAAAATGGATCATATATAATAAATGTAAAATCTACAACTATAAAACTTCAGAAACAGGGGTTCACAACTGGGTAAAATTTTGACACTCCCTCTTCCCTCAACCACAGGACATTCAGCAATATTTGGAGACATGCTTCACAGTTACAACACGGGGGAATACTCCTGATATCTAGTGGGGAAAGGTCAAGAATGATGCTAAACACTATAACACACAGGACAGCTCCACCCAATAAGGAACTATCTAGCCCAAAATGTCAAAAAGGCCAAGGTTAAGAAACCTTGTTCTAGAAAAATATATAGAGCAAAATCTTTGTGACACAGGATTAGGAAAAAATTTCTCAGAACACAACAATACAAACCACTCAAAGAAACCCCAAATCTATACAACAACTTCATTTTTTATGTGGGTTTTTAAAAAAGATTTTATTTATTTATTTATTTATTTGGCAGAGAGAGAGAGAGAGAGAGAGAGAGAGACAGGCAGAGAGAGCACAGCAGGGGGAGTGGTGGAGGAAGAAGCAGATACCCCACTAAACAGGGAGCCCAATTCAGGGTTCAATCTCAGCACCCTGGGATCATGACCTGAGCTTAAGGCAGACAGAGGCTTAACCAACTGAGACGCCCAGGCATCCTGATACATAGAATTCAAAGAAAAACTTACAAAATACACATTTGATATAGGACTTGCATCCAGAATTTATAAAGAACTTCCAAACTCAACAAATGGAATAAATAAACCATTAAAAATGGGGGAAAGATTTTAAAAGACCCTACATCAAAGAAGAAACATAGGTGGCAAATAAGCACACAAAAAGATGTACATTAGCAAAATGCATACTAAAACCACAATGAGACACCATAATACAACTATGTATAAAATGATTAAAAATTTTAAAACAAAACTACTGGCAATACCAAGAGCTGGCAAGGATACAAATCAACTAGAACTCTCATATATTATGGGAGAAGGCAAATTGGTACAGCCACTTTGGAAAACAGTTTAGTACGTTCTCATAACATTAAACACACAATTACTTTATCAGACAGCAATCTCATTTCTAAGTATTTACCAAGAGAATGAAACCATTTGTCTGCCAAAAACCTTCACCTGTATGGAATATTACTCAACAATAAAAAATTAAAAAGAACAAACTATTAATTCATACAATATGGATAAATCTCAAAAGCATGTGCTAAGTGAAAGAAGCCAGACTCAAAAACTCAAAAACTCAAAAAACCACTTCAATTCTGAAAGGGCTAAACTATAGGGACAGAAATCAGATCAGTGGTTGCCAAGGACTAAGGATGGGGACATGACTGACTATATATTGAGGCACAAGGGAACCTTTCCAGGGTCATGACAATCTTGTGTATGTCAAATGTGGTAGTGGTTATATGACTGTAAATATGTGCCAAAGCTCATCAAACTGTATACCTAGAAGAGGATTGCTGTATTTAAATTATACATCAATAAGGTTAACATAGCAGGAAACAGAGAGAGAAAATTCCTGAAAATTTCATTTAACAAGGAGCAGAATATTAAACCAACAGCAGCTGGAGGGGAAGAGAGGATGAGACATTTGTACTCAGTTGCTAGAGGTGACATGGTCTAGACTGTGATCAACAGATAATAACGTAGTAAGCGCAGAAGTTTAGGAGGAGAAGTAGAGGAAAAGATCTGTGAAGGTTAGATCAAAGATCCAGGAGCTTTAGGCACTACATGGGTAATGTAAGCTGAAGTGAAAGAAACTGAGAACAGGGCAGCAAAAGCTATAGTTTCCAATGAATAAAGAGAGGTAACTTAGATAACAGCAACAAAGATGAACAAACAGAGTAACAAGGAGAAAAGAAGAAAGGGAATAAAAAAATAGCATAATGCTCCTGCTAAGCTGAGGAACCCAGGCATAAAGGCAGAAATAAAGAGCTACAGGATCTATCCATGGCATATAGTATCATAAGATAGGGACAAAAGGGGAAGACATCTATTTTTGGACCACGCTCTACCATAAATATGTCCTCAGAGAATATGAAACTATTTGGGGATATATCCCTATACTCATTTCCTAGGACTGCCATAACAAAGTTACACAAATTGGGGGGTTCAAAACAACAGAAATTTATTTTCTCACAGGCTAGAGGTATGGAGGCTAGAAGTCTGGAATCAAGGTGCTGGCAGGGCCATGTTCCACCCAAAGCCTCCAGGGAGGCTCCTTCCTTACCTCTTCCCTCAGATAGCCCCAGACATTCTTTGGCCTGGGACACTGTATCTCCATTTTCTGCCTCTGCCTTCACAAGGCTGACTTCTTCCTGTGTGTGTCTCTTACACATGCTGTTCTCCTCTCTTATAAGGATATCAGTTATATTGGATTAAGGGCCTACCATACTTCAGTATGCTCTAAGTTATATTTGCAATCACCCTATTTTCAAACAAGGACACCTTCTAAAATACTGGGGATTAGGACTTCAACAAATTCTGGGGCACACAATTCAATCTACGGCAATTCCCCTTTCATTCAATGGTCCCAGAATCCTACGCACTTTCCGGTCAAGATTTCTTTTAACCCCTTTTTTTCCCCTGATGATGGCAAATCTCCTTCCTCCATATCTCGTATAGAATGGATAATCACTGCAATTTAGGGGAAACGGAAGGTACCAGAAGAAATCTGATAATCAAGTTATTAGATAATCAACCTTAAATATTTAACTATTACGAATAAGGTTGCATTTTTTTTCCTCCAACAAACATATGTAAGCTTCTTTCCTATCTGCTCCCTAGTTTTCCATCTCTTCTAAATTCATGACTAAACTCTAGATTAGTACTCAAAGTATGGCCAAAAGATCGCTGGCCATCACAGACACTCTTTCAGGAAATCTCTGTGCAGCTCCATCTACGCAAGGCCAGATTTTTTTTCGCATACTTCAGTGTATCCCAGCAGACTAAATGCACAAACAGATATGAGACTCCAACTGTGACAGCTAACTTTTTAAGATTTTATTTACTCATTTGACAGACAGAGATCACAAGTAGGCAGAAAGGCAGGCAGGGAGACGGGGGTAAGCAGGCTCCCTACTGAGCAGAGAGCCCGATGAGGGACTCGATCCCAGAACCCTGGGATCATGACCCAAGCTGAAGGCAGAGGCTTTAACCCACTGAGCCACCCAGGCGCCCCCGTGATGGTTAATTTCATGTGTCAACTTGGTTAAGCCACCAGACAACCAGATATTTGGTTAAACATTATTCTGTATGTCTGTATGTCTAACATTTGTCCACAGACTGAGTAAAGCAGATTACTCTTTCTACTGTGGGGAAGCTTCATCCAATCCATTAAAGGCCTGAATGGAACAAAAGGCTGAGCAAAACAGAATTCACGGTCTCTGCCTGATGGTCTTAAGGCTAGTCTTCTCCTGCCTTTAGATTTAGGTTCAGAATAGAACTTACACCATCGGTTCTCCTGGTTCTCAGGCCTTTGGATTCAGATTAAGACTATACTATCAGCTCTCCTCGGTCTCCAGGTTGCAGATCTTAGAATTCTCAGCCATCACAAGAGCAAATTCCTTATTTTATGTGTGCGTGTATATACATGTATGTATGTATAAGTCTCCTATCAGTTTTGTTTTTCTAGAGAATCCTGTCTAATAAACCATCTTTCATTATGCCTGTCATTAAAGAGATACACAAAAATGTAAAACAATGCCACTCTTTCAACTAATTTTTTTGTCTTGGAAAATAGTTATTTTTCAGGGCAGCTGGGTGCCTCAGTGGGTTAAGCCTCTGCCTTCGGCTCACGTCATGACCTCATAGTCCTGGGATTGAGCCCCGCATCAGGCTCTCTATTCAGCGGGGAGCCTGTTTCCCCCTCTCTCTCTGTCTGCCTCTGTGCCTACTCGTGATCTCTCTCTCTGTCAAATAAATAAATAATCTTAAAAAATAAAAAGTTATTTCTCATTTTTAAAATATATCATTTATGCTAATATATAATGGGTTTATTATTTTTTAAATATTTTTTAATGTTTTAATTTCTAGTAAGCTAAATATCAATATAGATAATCCTTATGAACAAAAGACGCTTAAAATACTTATGAAGAATGTAAAGGAGTCCTGAGATAAAAAAAGAAACTGAATTAGCTAGTCTACATAATTAAAATTGTTAAACATCTATTAGAAAAATGAATATTAAAGTAATTCACCTCTTACTATTCTTAACAGCTAAATCAGAATTTCTCATGCTGCTTATGAAGAGAAAAATAGTTTGCTAGTTACACAAGACACACCTGATCAGCCTTAGACCTCCACCGAGCTGTTTTTTCCACAGAGACCACAGTAGTATTAGAAATCTGTGTCCTACTATTGCCTTGATATAGTGGCTGTTGCCATACATGACAGGTCAATGGAACAACCTGAAAATCAAAAGCAGATTTAAATAGAGTAGTGACACAATCATTGTTATTAGATAATAAAATCTAAACTTTAGCTTGTACTTCTCAGTTTCTAGAGCATTTTCAAATATGTGTGTGTGTGTGTGTGTGTGTGTGTGTGTGTATATATTATACATATATATATAAAACATTTCAACTCCACAACCACTGTCCAAATTATTACCTTAACTTAAAAATAAAGAACAGGAGCACCTGGGTGACTCAGTTGGTTACTGACTCTTCATTTCACCTCAGGTCATGACCTCGGGGTCCTAATATCCAGTCCAGTGTCAGGCTCTTTGCTCAGCATAAAGTCTGCTTGCAATTCTCTCTCCTTCTCTCTCTTTGCCCCTCCCTGCTGCCCTCACGCATGCATGCTCGGGCACGCGCTCTCTCTCTCCAGAATAAATAAACAAATCCTTAAAAAAATAAAAATAAAAAAATAGTCTTAAGATTATCCAGTTAGAACTCAACATACTTTCCAATAAACCATGGCAGTTCTTTAACCTACTTTACCCCTAGAAGTAAAAGAAGCAAGCAGAAACAAGCAAGTTACTAACTTTAAAATCTTACTATTTGAGATACCTAAGAAATGAACCCTAACAATAGGGACTAAAATCAACTCATGGTGGGGACTGTGGAAACAAACAGGCTATTTTGTGAGATCAGGGGTTAGAGCAGGGGTCCCTCAACTGTGAAAGGAAGCAGTAAAAGCTGTGACTACAGCTCAAGGCTGAAGCAATGCAAATGGAAAAGATCAAGGCAATCAAACAAAAACGAGCTAGGTCAAGTCACCCACTGGTTCAGAGACTGAGTCCTGAGATTTTCTCCAATATCCCTGGAAAATAAAAACCCGAAGCTTCAATATAAGACCTCTTCTTAAAAAAACAGCCACAAGGGGCAAAGTAAAGACAACCACAAAAACACCAGGTAGTGAAGGGTACACCAAAAGAGAAAACAACAACAACAAAAAAACACTCCTGCTAATAAAAATGCAATTACAAACTATACTTTCAAAAAAACTTTAAAATGAGTATCTCAGATCCTCAAAGATATAAACACACAATGTCCATGAAAAGAGAAGAAGTTATAAAAGTAAAACAGGCAGTTATAAGCCAAGAAAAGATGAATGCTAACAAATTATTAATAACCACAAATGTGAAAGAGCCTCTGAAGGAAATCCAAGGTCATCAGATTTTTTCCAGATTTAAAACACTGTTACTACACTCAAAAAACACTTTTATAGAGAGAACTTATAACAATGTATTTTTGGTTACAGAAAGGCCAGCTTATTTATAATCTATTCAATAACTAAAGAGATTTCTCAGATATCAATTCTTCCAAGGGTTTTTTCTCTAAAGGTAGAGTACCATGGCTCACACTCATCTTGCTTCAATGGCAATGTTTAAGGGACAAAGAGTAAATAAAACTGTTTTGCAAATGCATTCTGGACATCTGAAATACCTAAATATGTAACAATACAGCCAAAGTTCTAGCACAGTCTTCTTTGAGACCTCCAGGAAAGAATCCCAACATAAATGTTTAAAATGGCTCGTCACTGCAGCTAAATAATGCTGGTTGTGGACCATGGGGTCTTGCCTTTGAAAAGAGTTGCTTCACAACAGCTTATAAAAAGAGAGTTCAATTCTTCAGGATATTAGTAATAATACAATATTAAGAAACTAGCACTTTGAGAACCCAATATATGAGAAAACAAACATTCCCCCCTTAGTTTTATCAGTTTAAAGAAAACCTAAAATTTAAATGCTAAAAGTTCTTATTAGAAAATCCATTCCTGGGGCACCTGGGTGGCTGTGTGGATTAAGGCCTCTGCCTTCCACTCAGGTCATGATCCCAGGGCCCTGGGATAGAGCATCGCCAAGCTCTGCTCAGCAGGGAGCCTGCTTCCCCATCTCTCTGCCTGCCTCTCTGCCTACTTGTGATCTCTGTCTAATAAATAAAAAATATTAAAAAAAAAAAAGAAAATCCATTCCCCAGAACTTCCTTTTTTATCACCTGTTTACACATCATCAAGAAAACTAATTAATACATTCCCATATGATTGATCAACTTTCCCACTATTACCTCTGACTATAACCCAAATACTTGAAGGATTCTTAAGATGAATGCTTAAAAGCTAAGCAGTGGTGTCATCAACTGTCATCAACTCTTCATCTGAGATTAAATGTTTTTTGGCATAAATTAACAGCTTGAAAGAGCCCTTCCCTGAATAGGTTTTTAATATTAAAGGTAGCAGTCTTCCAAATATATGCTGCTTATGAGATCTAAGGACACATATAGGCTGAAAGTAAAAGGATGGAAAAGGATATTCCATGCAAATAGTAACCAAAAGAGCAAAGGAGTAGCTATACCAAATTCAAATGAAACAGATTTTAAATAAAAAACTGTTATGAGACAAAGGACACTATAAAACCATAAAAGGGTCAAATCACCAAGAAGATACAACAATTACAAATATTTGTGGACCCACCCTTATAGTTCCCAAATCAATAAGGCAAATTTTTAAAGACTTGAAGGAGAAATATACAGCAACACAGTATATTAAAAGACTTCAATACCTCACTTTCAATAATGGATAAAACCACCATATGGAAGAACAGTAAGTAAATAAAGTGAACAACACTACAGACCAACTGGACCTAACACATATACAGAAAGCTCCACCTAAAAACAGCAGAATATACATTTTTTTTAAAAGATTTTATTTATTTGACACAGCAAGAAACAGCGAGAGAGGGAACACAAGGAATGGGAGAGGGAGAAGCAGGCTTCCTGCTGAGCAGGGAGCCTGATGTGGGGCTCGATCCCAGGACTCTGGGATCATGACCAGAGTGGAAGGCAGACACTTAACGACTGAGCCACCCAGGCCCGCCCCCAGAATATACATTTTTTTCAAGTACATATGGAACATTTTTTAGGATAGAACATGTTAGGCCACAAAAGTCTTAAGAAACTCAAGAAGCCTGAAATACAACATCTTTTCCAATCACAGTGGAATGAAACTAGAAATCAATGGCACAGAAAAAAACTGGAAATTTCCACAAAAAAAAAAATTTCCAAAACATGAAAATTAAACACTATATGCTTAAAAAAAAAAATCAAACAAGAAGTCACAAGGGAAAAACAAAAACAAAAACAACTTTGACACAAATGAATTTGAAGACACAAAATACCAGAACTTATGGGATTCAGCAAAAGCAGTGCCAAAGGGAAATTTACCACTGTAAAGGCATACATTAAAAAAAAAAAAAAAGTCAGAAGATAGTCCAAGATAGCAGAGGAGTAGAAGACCTTAGTTTCATCTTGCCCCAGGAATTCATCTAGATAGCTATCATATCATTATGAACACCTACAAACTCAACCAGAGATCTAAAAAAAGAATAATATTCTACAAATCAAAAAGCATACACTTTCTACGAGACAGAATGACAAGACAGAAAAACTCACCTCAGAAAGAGAACAAGAGGCAGTACTTATTGCCAGGGATCTAATCAGTATAGAGGTAAGTAAGATATCAGAACTGGAGTTCAGAATAACAATTATAAAGATAATAACAGAATCCCTTTCTGGAGAGACAAAAGAACTAAAATCTAATCAAGTCAAAATATAAAAGGTTATTAATGAGAGGCAATAAAAAATGAAGACTCTAAATGCTAGGATAAATGAGGCAAAGAAAGAATTAGAAGACCAAATGACGGAGAAGAAAGAGAGATAAACTACTGGATCACGAAGGTAGAATTCAAGAGATAAATGATACCATAAAGCAAAACAATACTGAAATAATTGGGATCCCAGAGGAGGAAGGGGGGGGCCCTAAGCAGGGGGAGAAAAAAAGGCATTCAATCCAGGAGGCACAGAGAACCCCCTCAAAATCAGTTCAACACCTTGACATGTAATGGTGAAACATGCAAATCTCAGAGACAAAGAGAAAATCCTGAAAGCAGCTTGGGACAATCAGACCATAACCTACAAGGGTAGAAACATTAGACTGGCAGCAGACCTATCCACAGAGACTTGCCAGACCAGAAAGGACTGGCATGATATATTCAGGGTGCTAAATGAGAAAAATATGCAGCCAACAGTACTTTATCCAGCCAGAAGTCTTTCAAAATAGAAGAAGAGATAAAAAGCTTCCAGGACTAGGGGCACTTGGATGACTCAGTGGGTTAAAGTCTCTATCTTCAGCTCAGATCATGATCCCAGGGTCCTGGGATCGAGCCCCACATCAGGCTCTCTACTCAGCAGGGAGCCTGCTTTCCCCTCTCTCTCTCTCTGCCTGCCTCTCTGCCTACTTTTGATCTCTGCCAAATAAATAAAATCTTTAAAAAAAAAAAAAAAAAAACTTCCAGGACTAAAAGAATTTGTGTGGGAATGCAAGCTGGTCCAGCCACTCTGGAAAACAGTACACAGGTTCCTCAAAAAGTTTAAAATAGAGCTCCCCTACAGCCCAGCAAATGCACTACTAGGGATTTACCCCCAAGAAACAAATGCAGTCATCTAAAGGGGCATCTGCACCCCAATGTTTAGAAGCAATGTTCACAATAACCAAACTATGGAAAGAGCCCCGATGTCCATCGACAGATGAATGAATAAAGAAGATGGGATACACACACACACACACACACACACACACAAATGGAATATTACTCAGCCATCAAAAAAATGAAATCTTGCCATTTGCAACGTGGATGGAACTAGAGAATATTACGCTACACAAAATAAATCAGTAACAGAAAGATAATTATCATATGATCTCACTCCTATATGGAATTTAAGAAACAAAACAGAGAATCATAGGGGAAGAGAGGAAAAAATAAAACAAGACGAAACCAGAGTTGGAGACAAACTGTATGAGACTCTTATGGGAAACAAACAGAGTTGTTGGAAGGGGTTAGGGATGGAGGGATGGGGTAACAGGGTGATGGACATCAAGGAGGACACATGATATAATGAGCACTGGG